AATAAATAAACAAATAAATAAATAGCGGTAACCGCCACATGTTTAGTCTGTTTTGTGTCTTACAAGGTAATGGTTTTATGCTAGCTACTTCAAAACTATAGCATTAAACTCGTGTGGGCCACACAGTAATTAGGTGTACCTTTTTTAGAGGGGCCGTGCCTCCTGAACCCAAGAAAATCCAAAGGGTTCCTTGCAAAGTTCCTTGCTCTATTCATCTTAATGGAACTCCTGAAAAATACTTAATTCAAAATAGATTTTATTAGATATAGAAGCTACCCATGGAAGGAAGACTGTCAAGGGCACTGCACAAATGAACGCACCGGACAGCTTGCAAATTAATGTGTCCTAGAATTAACGCAAAGAACGATTAAACGAGACAATTGGCGTTAGTGGAGATACATTACTACGGAAGCTATAACGACAACAACCGGAAAGCATGCAATCACAGTGAATTATACACTTATCATTATTGCACTGCTTTTTTTACAGTTTTAATTGATAATTTGTAGAAATAACTTCGCTGTTCAAGTACTGCAACAGCTATTAAATGAATTATCGAAATATTTTATTTTGCAGCAGTTAGCAAGACTCAATTTTATTCTGTCCGAAAATGACGTCATATAGCGGGAGGTCCAAACGGAAAGGAAGTCAAACCATCAAGTATAAAATGAATTTCAGAAACAAAATATCAGCAAAGTTTCTTCTTACGTGACATTTCGGACAAGTTTATGACTCAAGCAAAAATCTCTATAGCATCGAAAGCTACCCAGCAGTTTTTCAGACACAACTAACATGTCAATTAGCTAGATTTCAATTAAATCTTGTCCTCTTTACCAATGATCGTACTTTAAAACAGAAGTTTAACTTGCTCAATTAAGTTTCATCAAACAAGCCACAGGCAGGAAGATATAAGCTTATTCCAAGCAAAACATCTTTTCAAATATGAATTATGGATGGTTGAGGTATTTACTCTTTCTGTGTTACTCGTGCTCCTGTGCCAACTCACACCACGATGTCGGATGATTGAGGATCCTGACGTTTTTAAATCATTTCTCGGCAACCGAGCTCTTATTATACCTGTGGTC